GTAGCATTGATCATTGTATCAGCACTACTTTCTCCACTAGAGAGAAACTCAACTCTTTGTTAACCACCGTCAGTTACTTTCATTCAGCTCTAAATAGAGTTTTTATCCCCACAGATGGCTCGGAAAGCACAGCAAAAGGTAAATTTATAAAGAAATTGTTAAACGCATTGAAGTTCACAAAGCAACCAGGTGCATTATGAGGCATGATTTGATGCTACTCTAGTTTAAAGATTTAAGGAATGAAGTTACAAGTAATACTTCTGATGAGAAGGAACCAGCGACTGGTTTTGCTGTTATTCCTTACATTCACGGTGTTTCGGAACCTATGAAGAGAATTTTGAATAGCCACAACGTTTATATTGCTCAAAAACCTTTTCAGATTTGGGGCATATTTTTATTGTCAAACCTAAGGTTTCTATCACAAATGAGCAACTAACTGAGACGCTTTTTATTCTTTTCTGTGCAATGACAGCGATCACCAGTATATAGGAAATACCAAACGTCAGTTTGGTACACATTTGAAAGAGCATCAAAAAGCGGCCTTCTTTTGTAAAAAGGAAAATTTAGCTTTGTCGGAGCACACATGCCTAACTAACCATACAATTGAGAAGGATAATTCTAAAATTATCACCACTAATCCATGTTACCACCAGCACCTTTGTTTGGAAGCCTGGCATATTAACTTTGCCCACGCTCCTTAAATCGTAATGATGGCGGCTCACTACCTGAAGCATATTTACATCTCGTTAGAAAAAAGGGCAGCTAATTAGTGAGCATGTAAAAGGACCTCTTGATGTAACGATTAGATCACCCTTGATGAAGGCACTAGACAGGAGTGTTGAAACGTTGGGTCTACGAATCGTAACTTGTCAGTTACTTTCAGTCCATTTTACAGCTGCGTGCTTGGTTGCCAAGCCTTTGAACAGGAGTGAGTCTGAAGGTGACTTTGTTATGATACAGACCTTGCTGCTTTTCAAATGTAAATGACTTTTTTAATCATGTAAACTAGATACTAGTCTCCATCACAACATGGTCAACCTCAGCCTCACTCCAAATCAAAGGCTTGGCAGCTATGTATACAAATGTAGCATCAAACCATGGTAAATTGTTAAATGTTTGCACGTTTTCTTCCGAAAACGGACTTTTTCTAATTGTATTCCGTATCTGTTTCATTAAACAACTCATTCCTGTATGTGATATATTTCCAGGTTTTTGTTTCTGTCGTTGTTGTTGTTTTTAGTCAATTAAACAAAATCTTAC